GGGGAACGAACGGGTCAGAAGTGCATTGAAAAATTTTCCAAATCAAATGACAGCAGCAGTTCATGCTGTTCGATTCCCTGAAACAGATGCTGAGCAAATGGTTCCTCCCTCCTATCGCCCATGTTCTAGTCACTTATCATGAATCTATCTAACATCTAACAACATCTAACATGGAAATTCAAGACCTCTCCTAGATTTTGGCATCGGCTGCAAAGGGTAACGGTCAAGATGTACCACTTGGGCAACCGTTATGAATGTAGGTGAAAGGATGCTGCGACATCTGATGATCCTGCCATAGTCATCCTTCTACTTGCAATTTGCACAGCATAGCCAGTTATCATTAGACACACTTCGTTCCTCGGTTATGTTGCCTCTTTTCCGCCCAGTTTTGTTCTTCGTATCCTGCCGTTCCCTCATAGCAGTGGCTTGTTGACCGACACCCAGTCTCATCGAAAACAGCACATATCGAAGCTCGTGCCAGTGTGAGCAGATAACCAAGAGGACTCTCACAAATTCACTTGGAAGACGCGTATTTTGGTTTTCTTTTTCTGAATCATCGCTCGGCTGAAAAATGAATTTTTCGAAGTCGTGTATACCATCATGCTAAGCTTATATAACTGTAAAAGAGGCACTTTGAAGATATTCAAAAGGTTCCGTTTCGAAAAGCACGACTTTACAGTATACCCTTTATGACGAAACAAGATGGCCGAAGACACAGAAACCTCCAAACACCCGTCTCATATACCATGCTGAGCGTTAGCGAGCAGTTTACGTGTGCTGAAGTGTGGAAGGGATTCCTCATACTAACAACCCTTCAGCACCATTTACCAAAGGCTCTAACATTTTGCCTGGCAACTGGTTCCTCTCCCCCTTTGCCGTATACTAGGAGCTGATCAAGTGAGTTCAATTTCCATTCAGCACTGGAAGGTTGCCCTGCGAAGAAAGTAAGACTCAAAGTAAGACTCAAGAAAGTAAGACTCAAGTAAAACAAAATAAAACCAAGTTTGCTCGAAGGACTATATTCGGTTGGTGACATTTTCTATGAGGAACTAAACAGTACACATTGCAGCCATATAGTCCGATTTGGTAAGAAAATGAAAGGCAGCCATTCACTAGGGTATGCCCAGTACTGGCATTGAGGCCACACAACGGAGGGAACGGTAACACAAAATTGAATCTGCTACGAAAATTCTGCAGAAGTTCGAGTCTAACCGTAGTCCGCGATAGTTTCTCGTTTCCATCACCATCTTTTAAATCTAGGACGATATAGCTCTCCGGCAGAAAAGGTACGACCTATAGTCAGGTGTTCCGAGTAGAATCTCTCCATACATTCGCACTGCCATCTTGCAAACCTCGATATTGAGTTCAACGGTATACCTCAGTTGTAAAAACTCATTTTTGATTCGAGTCATAATAAAAAAAAGGAGAACCCAAAACACGTTTTATCCTCCCTCCAGCACGAACCCCAGCATGTGCTTAGCGACTGATTCTTTGGCTCACCCTCGTTCGAAAGAAGATTACCGAGATATGTTTATTTCTTTTCGCGAAAAGGTACTAGTCTCACAGAATCCCATCCTAATGAGATTCCAAATCGCACTGACCTTCACGAGTGGTCTGTTCCAGAACACCGAACGAGAAACTGCAAACGGCTGCAATGCCGTTAGCGATCCAATGGTCGGCGCTCGGGTGCCACAAACTCGATCTTTCGGCTACGGGAACCTCTTCGTTGTCAGGTTTTTTTGACTAATAGCGTTGCAAGTTCCTATAAAAGCTATGAGGCCATCTAAATCAGAATCAGGTGTGCAACACAGGCCTTGCAGTAAGGCCAGTAAATTCATTTTAATCCCATGTCAACGTTTGGTTACAGTATGTTCGGTGATGCTTAGTGTTATGTCTTTTCAGATGAAGTCAAATTTTGTCTTATTCGGCTTGCTGGCAATCGCTGCAGTCACATTCGCAGAAGAGGCTACCCCGAAAAAAGTTTGTGTTATAATTCATCCAGAAACTATCTAAAAGAAACCCTTTCACCTATCATGGCTAGAATGGTACTTTCCAGAACGAACTCTCCGAGACTGGAACAGCGATTCTTGAGAAATTGCGGGAGCTTCGCAAGAACCAGGAATCACTTATTGCTAAAATCGAAGACGACAACGACAGGGAACTGGTATGTTTCTGCCCACACAAGCTTATCCTAAAGTTTTATTCTTCTGCACTCAATTACATCCATTTAGATCATCAACCTTTTCAAGACCGAACTCGCCGCTGATGCCGACGAGACCGAGAAGGACACAGCCCGAGTGAAACGAGGTGCTCCTCGATGGCTCGCTAACAGACGCGCTAACCGACGGGTAAGAAATTTTATGAACGAAAGAACAACGTGGAAGCTCTGTTTTTCAGCGTTTTGCTCGACGCCTTCGCCGAAATCAGCGACGTGCCGCACAAAAACGCCGAGCTCACGCTCGCCGTCACCAGAGAAACCTTCGTCGGGCCGCCAGAAAGATCCGTCGCATCCAGCGCCGTGGATAAATTTCGTGGAATATTTAATTTATTGGATAAAAATTACTCCTTCATCTTCTTTTTATTTACGAAAATTCCGAACGCCTAGAGCGACAAATCGAGTAGTATTATAGTATTCAGTAGAAGCCATATATGTATTGATGGTCTTGTGAAGATTCAGAAGACACTCGATTCTATGATGTTACACACTGCTTTGCCACACAGTTTTCATATGGTAGAGCCGCTTTATCAGGTCGACCTCTCGGACAACCCGTCGCCTAAGACCTGAAAGTAGTTCGAAGCTTCTGATGTGTGGCTTATCCGACCAAGCGCCCAAACTCGCTAGGCTAGTGGCAAAGCTCCCAGAAACTGGAACGTCAAAGACCTAAGATGTAACTACCCTTCTGCGGTTCCCCAGCGTTGCCGTCCCACTCTGTTCCGTGAATAACAAGGGACCAATGAGACACCTTGACTGTGGTGAGATAAGAATTACGCAGTGATCTGAAAGCCCCAAATATGCCCAGGTTGTTGTATTTATTGAAGACCAAAGGTAGAAGTTACAAACGGAGCATTGCGTAGTACGTGATACCGTATCCATATTCCTATGTCAGAAGAGACTGGACGAATACAAAGCCGCATCATTTTCAGAGAAGCAGCTGTCACATGCAACCTACATGTATAATATTACATATGGGCTAAAATTTATTAGAAAATCCTTCATTAGATGATTCTACCGCTCATGAATGAAAATCAGTCATACTATCATACTACAATCGACCGGACTTATGAGCGACATATCGGAAGAAACGCATGAAATTAATGCGATATGACTTGAAACAGGACCACTCAGAGTTCCTTGTGCATCCCATCTTCAAACAGCATGACTTTGAAGCTCCTGGATCTCGAGGTACCGTTACTTGACGAACCTAAAATATGCTTCTTGAATGCGTAAAATAATAGCTGGTTCCCACTTGCTGGCTTGTTCCTACTCCCTTTGAAGCACCTTCGTAGAACAAATTATTTTTGGTCGTCTGATGTCTCTTCTCACCCGGCCCGCAGATGCTATCCCTGCAAAATACGGAGGTTTATTTTGAATGAGTCGCTGTTTTGACTTTTGTTGAACGACACCTTCTTTCGATAGTGTTTGAAAAGAATGCTAGAAGATATTCAACCGATTGGTTAAGATACCTTCGAGCTTGGATAATACGGGTAGAAGTAGCGTAGCCGTGAGTGACGCCCATCACACACATGGTCAGGGTTCATCCTGGATCGGTACCCACATAGGACGACCAAGCCTTTCATCCATCCGGGAAGGGTGAAAACATCCAATTGTACATCGGTTGACCACCGTAAGTCATTTTAGGCGACATATGCATTCAATAAGCCACCGGTTGCGAAGGGAATTTGAATGCTGGGGCGCCTCCCGCAGCAGGATTGATTAGCGCTCAGGGACTTTATCCTTTCTACGGATCTCCCTCACTAAGAGTTCTATCTTACTGAAGGATCTCTAGTCGGTTATCGGTTAGTGATCAGGATTCGTGGCGCGATCACAGGTGGCGGAGTTAATCGTGTACTGAAAGTCACTAGTACTTGCCCAGGGGCTTCGAGGAATAGACTCGCTGTTTCTGCTGCGTATACCTTCCTTACCTTGCTGGCTACCCATGCATACGTGCGTGGAGAGTCTGCGCGAGTGCGGTTGTCATCCTGCACACCTGCTCATCCAAAAGTTGCATTTGAAAGGCGGGGAAGTATGGAGGAGAGGATTGAAGGTCACCTCTATGATCAAAGTTCTTTGTACACTATGGAGTAGCCCGTCTAGCAATCCAGCCTAAATACCGGAGCTTTGCAGGCTGTTGGTGTGCATACATATGCCAAAAACAGTAGCATCAATTAGTTCTATTCAACGCTGCCGTATTGAAGGCTCTCTCATGCCCTGAGCCTATGAGAACCTTCATTACGGCAGCGTTGAGCAGGAACGCCAGAGAGAAGCTACTAAAATTTCGGAACCATAACAAAAGGCTAAAAAAAGGACCAGGAGGCGATCTGTACTTTCAACGTTAGAATGCTTGCATTATACAGGTGTGAAGATTTAATGATGCAAAATGTGAAAACGAGTACGGTGTAATCAGAATGACCGAGACGAGAAGGCATTGTCCGCTAATTTTGACTCGAAAAAGAACTGTTAGATGACGTAGGCGTAAAAAACCGGTGGTGTAAGTGTCCTTGTATCACGCACTTGACCATGAACATCGGTTAGTACGGCAGCTTAGCAGCCCACTTTGAACGTCTGCGATCAAGAAGATGTGGCTCGATCTCAGCTTCAACAATCCTCCTTGATACGCACCAACCTCAAGCTACGAAGAAGAGGAGTTTTAATCGTTTTTTATGGACCTGAAATGGCTATTGAGAGAGAACCATACTTTAGTCAGGGTCATTGTCGCTGATTTAAAGGAAAATTGACGAAAGAAGACCCTGAAATGCCACGCATCGAGGCACACGGAACGGAATGGAATGAGCAGCGTGAACGACTATCAACATTTATCATGTCGACTCACTCTATCCATATTACTTCACAATGCTAAAGGCTCTCTCATTTGCGATGAACACGTGAGCCACCTGGTAGACGGTCTCATAACGGGAGAGATCTAATCACCAATCGTAAATGTTACTGACTGACGTCGCTGTTGTTCTGAAGTTCTTCACAAGATCGGACTATCGTCTGTTCCACACTAGATTCTGCTTTTCCGTGAGAGCTAGGAAGTTCAGAAAACGAGGTCCCAAGACCTTTCTCGACTGGGAACATTTCCCTTTCCTTCCGAGTTCTTGCGAGACATTTCCCTTCCCTTCTGAGTTCTTGTGAAGAATCCTATATCAACAACATCGATGAAGAATCTAACGCGTCGAACATTTGTACGATAGTGCCAGTAAACCAGGAAGCCAACAAAAGTAGCTAAGGAAAGCCACTCTTTGAAGAGCTTGAACTGATAGACCACCGTGATCTCGTTAACTACAGGCAATAATCAACAAACGCCCGAATTTGCGAAGCTATGCCACTGTGGGCGGGGAGGGCATCCGCATAGCCTGCCGGAATTTGCTGATCAACAAAACTGAGATAGCTACTTCTCATCGTCCAAAGGAGCAGTTACTGCATTTCACAGGACACCAGAGAAATCATATACAACTCCTGCTCGGATCCCTTCTACAGCCACTTATATTGCCTTCCTACCACTATAGACGAGACGGATGTGCCGTTCCTTCAGTTCTCTCATCCTGAATTCGACTTACCATCACGTCGACGTAGAATCGCATGGTGTTCGCTCTCGTTAGGATCAAAATACAACCCACAAAACTATGGCTTCACGGTACCTGTCGGAATGCAAAACGCTCGCGAAATGGTACAAGACGGTACTGCTGTGTAAAAAGGGTGGGCTAAACAGCATTGGGAACCCCTGCCCAATCTGTCTGCCGTCTGTAATCTACAAACTTGGAACACGAGTCATCCTCAACAAGATTAGCAGAATAAGACGAAGGACAGCCGTGTGAGCAAGCAGGGTTTCGGTGAGGGTTCAGTACAATCGATCATATCCACTTCCTTACCAAACTGACTGAAGTGTAGGATAAGCTCAGAAAGCCCATAATTGACATGAAAACGTTTTCGATTACCGCGATTTTGTCAGCAGTGCTTCTTCAGCATAACTATGTATCTAGGCCTTGCTCCTAGCTCCTAGCGCAAGGACACCGAGCTGGGAACTTTTGTGTCGTGTGTCCTTGAGGCAACTGTGGTCTTTACTGCGCTTTCTAACTTGGATGCAGGTCGATTTTCAAAACTACGGTTTGTGCTCACTTCATGGTACGTATGAATGAACAGCATGTAGGCAATGAAGGAGTAGCCACGGTAGGGATTCACAGAGATATTCGCTTACCAAAATTTTATGGTCACTAACACCTTTTCCACATGACTGTACCATCGACAGGAGACAGGTTTTAGTATATGGTTACTGCTCAAAATGGTAGCTCTTCGAGATGGTAACCACTAGCTTCTGATGGAGGGAGTCTCTGCTCTTGAAAGCGGCGTGGAAGTTGGAACGTCCACCTGCTCCCTACGACTTAATCTATTCCATCTATTAAGGCATAGGACAA